CTTCACCATGCTGCCCACAAAACTTTGATGGGGTGCTGGGAGCCTGGCGGGGAGCTGAGCAGCTGCTGTCCCAGTCGCTGTTTGCAGTGTTCACTGATTGTCTGTACATATACTCTTACTGAAAAAACTTTCTTGTCATCAACTATGAATAATAAAGTGAGTAGTGTTCCTGTGCCCCCGGAGGCATACACACTTAATACGCAAGAAGGGGAATCATAGGGTTTGGATATACATACATGTCGTGTCTTCTTTTCAGACTGTGGAATAACATCCTGAATTATAGCTGTATAATTAGGCTGAAGAGATTTGTTAAGGATTAATAAATGCTGTCTAACAGATGTTCCTCCCCAAAACACCATGCAAGATTTCTCCAAGTGTGAAAATGTAAAGAAAGGAGAAGCAGCAGGAGATGGGTCCCTCATATGTAGTTAACTTTGATATAGCTGTCATTTATTTCTAGGAATTTACCTATATGAAATTAGTTAGAGACACCACTATATACCTTGACGTCCTTCAAAAAAAAAATCAGTTTCTTAGTATTTTTCACTCAGTACCATTTTGTATTTGAATCCTCTTTCAGCTTTTTGCTAGTTCAAAGCTTTATTGACACAGTATGGTAGTATGCTCATCTCGATTTGGTTTAAAACCACGTTACTGATGTATCTACAGTAGGACAGGGCCTCACTGGGTCTTTCTGATTTTGCTGCCTCTTCAGAGAAACCAAATGGGCAATGACCAGAGTCTGTGCAAGCGTGAACGCCAGCCATTTCACAGGCAACATGGCTTCACACCTCTGGATGTGCCTGCCTTTATGCTGCCCGGTCAAATGTGCTCTCACACAGCCTCTAAAAGCTCATGGGGGCCCCTGTCCCGAAGCCCCATGACAGCCCCTGGCCAAGCAAAGCTGCACCACACCTCATCCAGCCTCGGCAGTCGGCAGGTTCCCCGGCACGGCAGATGCAGGCATGGATCTCTATGCGCAGCTTTGAACACGCACGCAGCTGCAATCTTCCATGACTGTTGTAACAACAAAAGCTGCTCGGTCACGTCGGGTCTGCTGTAATGAGGAGCACCTACACTGCGAGCATCACTGCGCACGCTCTCACAGCCCAGGCAGAGCTACTCATAAGCGGTGCCTTGTTTATTGGTGAGCAAAATTACACCCCCATGAGCCAGGAGTATTGTAAGAACAGGGAATGAGAACAGCAGCAGCATTGAGATGGAAGACTTTCCCAGCAGGACTTCTTTTTTCCTGAAATTCAACAGCAGGACTGAGGTTCAGACTATCGAGTGATGAAGACGAGTCTGCTGACTGAAGAGGGCAAGGCAGGCAGCTGAGCTCCGAACCACCTTCGTCTGGCACAGCTAACTCTGTTAGAGCTGGGCTTTTGGAGCCCTAACTCACGGATTTCACCAGTGATCTCTGTCACTCCATAATTTCTTCAGCCTACTGGAGAAATCACAGTTAACCAATGGTTGATTTAATCTTGCTATCCAGTTTAAATCCCTTACTGCATAGACTAGCAGTTTTTAACCTGATGAGGAGTCAAGTTCTGCCAGTTTTCCCATGGGAGCCTCGCCTGCAAAAACGGGAAGGGACTGGCATATGTGCTCTCCAGAGCTGCCTGCTCATACACCACCCTAGGATGACGGCTTGCTGTGACCCCCCCCAGCAAACTCCCAGCCGGGATTTGGCTGCCGCTGGGGAGCTAAACAGTGAGCCAGGCTTGCAGAAAAGAGCAGCTCCCCTCCAGAGCTATCCGACGTGGAATCTTGTTTCTCCTTTTCTTATAAACATGGGGTGAGAAGGTAAAGTGGAACATGCTGGAGCAGGAAGAGGTGACAGATGGTGGATATTAAAAAGACTCTTTAATTACAGGATTTGGAGAGAGGGTCCTTTATGGAGATAATTTTTTAATTGTTGCTTTTTTTAGGAAAAAAACCCACAGTGCTCCCAAGCAGTTCCCGGTAGCGATAAGCCCTGGTCTCTGAGCACTGTTGACTCTCATCACTTCAACACAGAGAAAAAGAAAATGCTGTGCTTGTTAGAACTCCTTGGTTAAACTTCAACTTCTTCTGCAGAGAAGTGTTTTGTTTCCTTCCATCTGCTGCCTTTGCAAGGAAGGAAAATCAGCCTGTTTGGATACCAGGAAGTTCTTCAACATTTGAACAGCTAGCTGTAAACACAGAAACAATAACATGCATAAATTATCATACCTAAAAATACCCTGCATGCTAGTCACACACATAACCCAGCCCTGGAGCAATTCCTAAGTAACCTAAGACTGCGTGAAGTATGCAGATACACGGGATGTGGGCAGAACAGGGCAGCTGTGGCAGCAGATGCACGTGCCTGGCTCTCTTGCACCATTGCAGTTTTTTCTTCTCATCAAAACATGTTTTGCTTTTACTGGGAGCTGCTGGCTGCCTCCTACGCCTTTGTGCATCGTATCTGCCAAAGCCACTTGCACGGGAGAGTAAAGCGAGAGTCAGACCCTTTGCAATTGATAAAGACCCAGAGCACGTGAATTTAAACCAAATCCATCCTGCCACTGGGGACTGTGTGATCCTCAAATGCAGCAGCTCTCCACACCTCTGAGGGAGCAAAGTGCAGTAAAGAAGGCAAGGCAGGCGGCAGGGGATGGGGCAATGGCCATCCACAGGCCAGTCTGCTGGCAGACAAACTTGACAACCCCCAAATCACCCCAGGGGGAGGATGTGGTTGTTGCCCTGCAGCTCACTGCTGTGGGAAGTCCACCGTGGCTCTTGCAATCAATTCCTATGCAGCCTGCGCCTCCAGTATTTGCTTTTCAGAAATCTCCGAGCCCTTGCCGTGTTTCCGTGGTAACACTGAGCGATCCAATGTGGGTTATTTGCAGAATCGAGGTGCTGGTGCATTCTCTCTTCTGAGCCCTGCAGCAGTTGTGGCTTTGCACACCAGAAGCTGCAGGTGTGCTGCAGCAATGGTGATGTGTTCTTCACTGCAACTCCCTCATTGGCGAGCAGGTCAGGGGTAGGCTCACTAGATTCCCTTTGTGCTGGCAGGACCTGGCGAATGGACTGAAGTGGCCCCAGGATGGGAAGTGTTCAGACCTCAGCCAGGTCGCCGCTGCCCCTCCATCCCCATGCAGGCACAACCCCTATTTAGTCAGTGCCTCTGTCCTGTGCCTAAGAACCCACAGGCACTGTAATTCCTGCTAGTGTCCATGGGACTGATGGGTCATACAACCCCGACGGGAAAAGTGGAAAAGCTGTTCCACACAGCGCCAAAGCAGGAGAACAGAGGATGCCACTGCTGTCAGCTCTTCACCCAGCACTACAGCCACTAAAATACTTTCCTGCCTGGTGGCCAACCACTGCTAATGGAAACACAGGGTGCTTTCAATTTACTTAAGTCTCTGTGGCCTAGAACTCTTCCCAGGTCTGAACACAGCCATTTGGCTACGGCCCGGCACACCCATCATTCCCCATCCAAATGCAAACCAAGCCAGGACTTCTCAGCATCCACCATGAGACAGTATCAGGAGCACTCAGTCTAGCCAGGTCGTTTAAATCGTTAAAATAAAAGGAACTGCATGGGCTGGATCCTAGCAAAGCAATTTGTGTATTATTCTTTCTTCTAATGTAAGTGAAAAGCTGTTGAGCTTTGAAGAATGAGGTTTGCATCTCAACAATGAACTGAGACTTTGCAAGGGGAGGTCGGGCACGTTTCCATCACAGCTTGAAGACAGCCGGAACAAGAGCAGGAAGGTCTTTTTGGGATACCACTGCTGTCAGGAGCAGCACAAACATATGCAGGTCACAGCCTGTTCAGTGGAGAGGGGCTCTGCCCCTGCAGCCGAAGCCCCGGAACAACCCCGATGTGCCCCAAAGCAGGTCCCTACAAAATGCTACAAGTGCCAGAGCTGCTCGTTCCCGCCTGGGACACAGCTCATGGCTTCACTTTAGGGATCATGGGTGGCTGCGAGACACCCAGAGCGGCTGAAGGGCCGAGTGACAGGGGCACCCCAGGAGAAGCAAGAAGGAATAAGGACATTCAAAGACCTGACTGCCTTTTTAATGCATCTGGGGGAAACACTGGTTCCCAAAAGCTTTGCCCAGGCACAAAGCACATTCTCAGCATTCATAACTTCGATACGTTTGAACAGCACTTCATCACTGGGTGGATTTAACCGCTTCTTTGAATTCTAACCCTAAATTCTGACCCTACGGTGCCCCGGCCGCGGCCAC